GGCCTCAAATACCCATAATGGCGTTACTCCAATGGCAATCGGGCATTTGCCTCATCAAAAACCGGCCATCTCCCACTTCATACTTACGACGCTATGTACATCCGCGAGGAGGAATTTAAGTCATAATCTACAAAGTTCGGGCCTTGGTCCTAGGAGTATCGTTACTCTAGTGGGCATTCATATTTTGAGGGAGGACTGGCAGCTAGGACGTGGGACGAACGAGCAAAGAGGTCTCGAATGAGCATGCTGGGACGCACATTTTTCGAGTATCATCGACTTATGGGTGTCTGTGGGCGCAGAGGCAGCGATTTTGGATAGCGCAGCCGACACTATAAAAACAGGTGTGGATGGTTAAAGCAGATGGTCAGTGCACGCAAGCAATACCATAAATAATTAATATTCTTCGGCCCAAAGCAGTGTCGCGATTCAGCTAAGAAGCGAGCATATCGGCCTCAATTCTTACCTATACAGAAGAAAGGTACCCGGAGTAGAAAACCCTCGCTGTCAATGTGGATATCCGTCACAGAACGTCAAGCACATGCTATTGGCGTGTCCGCAGTGGGCAAGTGGAAGAGGCGATGTTCTCCGACAGGCTAAAGACAGGTCATTTGAAGCAATGATGAACAGTCCAGAGGATGTCGCTCGAATCACACAGTGGATACTAAGCAAAGGATGGATAAAACAGTTTCGACTTGCGGGGGAAGTGGAGGCAGCAATGTCGGAAAAATGAATCGATCATGAAGGGGAGAGAACGGAGTCCACACTGGCTTAACAGTGTAAAATGCACTTCCTGAAGGTAAACTAGGAAAGTTTGATAGCTATTAACAGGCAGGATCAGGGGGTTTTCACCAAATTGGTTTCCCCCTTTGTAAATAATGAAGATAGTCACCTGCATGGACCCATAGGGTGCCTGATCGGGTTAAATGAAATCAAATTCAAAATTAATATTCTTCTATAGAAGAGATAACTACAACTAGATGGTGCGGTCACAAAGTGCGCCCTGACGATTACCTTACATAAGCACGATAGAGAGAACTTGTTCGTGCGAAGGGCTGGGCCTTCCGCTACGTCCGAACCAAATGTAAGGCTGGGCACGCAGGTCAGCCCAGACAACCAGTATCGGGTAAACCCGTAACAACAGGCAACGATGGAATGTGTTTCGGTCCGTCTCCTGGTCGTCATTTCGCCGTATTAAAGCCTAGGTAGCCTGGACACCTACCTCACTCTAGAAAGGGAGGACTGTGAGGCCATATCTCGCGCGGCGACTATACAAAAGATGATAAAAGTATGTTGTGGTAGCCAAAGGTTTTTTCTGTTTTCCCAATGATGGATATTAACGGCAGAAGGGAGGGTGAAAGTCCCTAGCGCGAAGGTCTTGAGTGGTATCAGCGAATCCACCCACTGTATGAGTTGTCCAAATGTCAAACTGAGTTATCGTCGTCCATAATCATCGGGAAGCTTGTATTCTCCGTGTCATGCTCTTTGAGTGCAGGGCTTGTGCCCGTCACGAATAAACACTCATTCATTCATTTTGTAAGTCTCAGACTATAGTCGGATGTAAATTTTGATTTTTAAAAAAAAGGGCTGTTAATGAGGTGCATCAGGGCATAGATGTAACACCTGTATGCGATGTCCTATACGAACTCGGGAGTGAAAAGTTGTCCTAGAGCCAAGTTCAGTCAAATTTCTCAAAACCGAACAAATTGGCCCACGATGCAATGATTTAACACTCCCTATCAAGTCAATGTCGCAGTCCGAACAAGGTTGATTCCGGCCAAGGCCTCATCAAGTCTGAAAGTATGTATTAGTGTCGAATGACCTAATGACCTTTTGTAAAACTTAGAGAGGTCTTCGTGTGAATGTCACGTGAATCTTCAAAAGGTAAAAGCGAATACAAGAATGAATTGATTACTTGTTTCCGTGCTGCGAGTCCATCGTAGCCGTTCCCCTGGGTGGGTATTCACGGATGAGGGTTGACTTGGGGTGAAGAAAAAGCCACCATAACTTCGCAGTGGTACTTGCAAATGAAATCTGAGTCATGAGTGCTCTTCCTATGCGTTGAATCATCTATTCTGTACTTTTCTTTGATATAGTGTCATAGCTAGATAGCTGCATACGCAATTAAAATCTGATGCAAAAAAAAAAAAAAAATCTAGTTCTACCCTATTAACGCCCCTGATCATCATTACTAGTCTGACATGCCTGCACGCAGATCGTGCTTTCGCTTTTGGACTGGATCCAGACTTATGCTTGCATAAGTCTGTTTACACCTTTCATGTATTATCTTAGAAATAATGACTAATTATGTTGATGAATAATGAGTCACCTGTTTAGGAATGGCGTCAGGAGAGAGACAACTGCTGTATATACGTGTTTCTTTTAGCGATAAGTGAAGAAAGAGAAAATATATGTTAACCACCAATTATTATTACTGCTATAGAAAGCTTGTGATATAATACCACTCGAGTATTCCGACAATTAGTTCATCCTTACTTAGAAACCACACCTGTCGTCAGATAAGTCTCTGGCTTATGTGTGTGTTTTTATTGTACTACTTGAGTATATGACTATCTAGCACATTCGGCTCCTCCCTGACCCAGGCCACACCTTGTACAGTGCTCCTTGCCTCTTTTGTAACTTGTAAGATCATTGATATGTTGCCCGTCATGAATAGCCATTCAGCTCAGTGTTTACCCGTGGAATGCAGCCACTTTTTCCACCGAACCTTCTACCTCCAAAAAAAAAGGTCGCAATAGAAACCGCGTGCGCGGGAAAAAGAGTCAAAAAACCTGCAGCCCCAGCCGGGCGAGGCCTAGACACAGGAACCACGTGAGGTGCGCATGTCCATCTATGTCTCCCTTCTTTGTAACAGTCGAGGTTGACTTGATCTAATCCGCCATCTCCATATCGGGTGCTGGGTACGCTCCGGAAACTCATCGGATGGCTTTTTCTCCATGACCAAGGGATGGTTACGAGAAGGGCTTCGACTCTACCATCTGATCTGATCGTGGTTAGCTTCATGATAGTTGTAATAAGGGAATGTGTTGAGAGATGAAGACGATACAAACCGCGAAAGCGATTGGGAATCCTCGTCGAAGTGAGAACTTTTTACTCAATCTCGGATCTGCAGACTCTACAGTGGGAGCTGGAGGTTCGTAGGGGACACCACTGACAGGTGTTGAGAATAGTCCCCCTATCTCCGGCCTAAAATAGCTTCCACATTATTCTTTATTCTTGCTGTACAACCACAATTATTATCTATTTAGCCTTACAATTCCAACATTTTCTACCTCCCGACTGCTGGCGTTAGAATGGTATTATGCTGCATCAGAGATTCGTAACACATTACGCACACAACCAACAATAATGACAACCACCCATACGAGTGGAGAGCGAGAGCAGATGTCTGTTAACGGTTTTTTCTGTGAGCCTTGATGTATATTATCCCCGCAGAATTCAATCTAGTCATGAAAGAGCGCGGATTCAGGCGTTTCAGACGATATGGTCATGGGGAGCAGCAGCTTCTGGTTGTATCTGAGTAAAAATCCTCACTTATAGAGATTTCACTACACAAATCAACGAAATCAGTAATTTGATCATTCACCTAAGTTTTTCATCAATCAATGAATCAAGATGGCAATCATGATATAACAAGACGTACAGTCTCGCCAAATTAACACGTCATACGAAAGTACTATGAAAGTACTTGCCTGAAATGCGTTTATATCTTGGGTAAGGGTGGCATCGAATCGGCTTATGAATAGTTGCCACCAACCAAATGGTTACGGAATTTCTTCGAAAAATTAAACAGAGCATTCGAGCAGGATCGAAGCATCAGGGGTTCGGTCTTCAGATTGAGAGCTACGGTAGCGACGGTAAAAATCTAGAAGGGATTGTTCCCAAGTTTATTGGAAAGGTTGCCGCATAGGATAAGGAAATGCTACAGAAATGGAGGGTACTTGATGTGGAAACTTGAGGTACAATGACAATTAGCGAGTGGTCAGAAGCTGGCATGGACTCAAATCATAAGATTCTAAACTAAAGAAAAAAGTATCTAGAAAGATATGAATCTGTAAATATTTACATAGGAGTTCAACCATTCAAATAAAGTTGCCAACACGATCCTCCTCTCCCTCATTGTCTACAACCCAAGGGTTTTGCATGAAAACCATTGCCCATGATAAACCTTTCGTATCGTGGCTTGTCACACACAAGACTCGTGTATGTTCGAAATTAGTGTTTAGAATCCCTGGAGTGACCCTGTGTCAACTTACCGACGATTGGACCGACGACCATATGGCCACTAAAAATCTCGGGGCGTCACAATTAAAGCAAAATAGAGTAGGACTCTGTGGGTCCCAATGGGAGGCATACAACAAAGAAAACGGCACCTGAACATAGTCAGGAAATTTTTGAACGAGAAAACCTGGGGCAAGAGGAAAGGGAATTATTGAGAAAGGGAGGGTGTTGAGGGCTTGAGTGGTTGATGTTCTTGTCCCAGGAGAGAAATGCACTTTGGCACTCACACATCTAGCTCTCTGGGCGGCCGGATTTCACTTCAGACTTAACCCGTGCGTAAAAAATGGAGTGTTCTGGTCTCAGGTGAGACGAGATTCATGCAGTTACAGGTTGCTAACCCAATCTAGCTCGGCCCTACTTGTGCTCAAGCTCCTAAATAAGTGAGATGGGTGCCAATTGCTTGGCAACTTTACGAAAATACAGGCATCTCTACATCCCCACTCTCAGGCAAGCACATGACTAATCGGGTTTTAGCATGTTCTAAAAGATAGTACTCAAGTTTGGATGAGCGGGCTAGAACATGTGATAACACTAGGAAATATAGTCAATAGCAGCTGAAAATCGCACCTTTCATGAATATCAGCAGCAAGTTCTGCCTTAGATAAAAGGCATGTAAGCCTCAGCCTTCAAACCGAGGCTCGGAATTCACCCCTCGCATTGTACGAAATTTTATCCGGTTTACTACCGGGACCACCATCGATATGAACACTGCCCACAGGTTCCGGCATGGCGTTTACAGCACCTTCTCATGCGCTATTCGAGGCTATCTGGGGACTTTTAACATTCGTCGTGTACATTCAATGAATCCTAAACCCACGATGTCTACGATAATTGATAAGATCAAGGTTAAGTCTCCGGTTGTCGAATTAGATGGAGATGAAATGACCCGAATAATTTGGCAGCAAATCAAAGAAAAATTTATTTACCCATATCTAGATGTCGATTTGAAATATTATGATTTGGGCCTTTCGAATAGGGATCTGACAGATGACCAAGTCACTCTCGACGCTGCTGAGGCTATCAAGAAATATTCTGTTGGAATTAAGTGCGCTACCATCACCCCGGATGAGGCAAGAGTCAAAGAATTTAAACTTAAAAAGAGTGAGTTACTAGCTAAGCTCTAGCATATTATGCTGACGATTGTTCAGTGTGGCTATCCCCTAACGGCACGATCCGAAATGTACTAGGTGGAACTGTGTTTAGAGAACCTATTTTGATTCCTCGCATCCCACGATTAGTACAGGGCTGGGAAAAGCCAATTATAATCGGTCGGCATGCATTTGGTGATCAGTATAAAGCCAAAGATCTAGTTGTCAAGGGTAGTGGTGTTCTGAAAATGGTTTTTACGCCCGATGGTGGTGAACCGGAAGAAATTGAGGTATATCGCTTTCAAGGTGGAGGAATCGCACATACACAATATAACACAGACGAGTCTATCTCAGGATTTGCGCATGCTAGTTTTAAGCTTGCTCTGAACAGGTCTTTACCGCTCTATCTGAGCACTAAGAATACCATACTCAAGAAATATGATGGGCGTTTTAAAGATATCTTTCAAGAAATTTATGAAAGGGAATATAAAACCAAGTTTGAGGCCAAAGAGATCTGGTACGAACATAGACTCATCGATGATATGGTAGCACAAATGATGAAGAGTTCTGGAGGATATGTTATGGCCCTTAAAAGTAATACAACCATAATTTATGTTTTCAAAACTAATTGGGAGATTCTAGATTACGATGGTGATGTTCAATCCGACATAGTTGCTCAAGGATTTGGCTCCCTAGGTCTCATGACTTCGGTGCTCATCACACCCGATGGGAAAACATTCGAATCAGAAGCTGCACATGGAACTGTAACCCGGCACTATCGCGAGCATCAAAATGGCAGAGAAACCTCCACAAATCCCATAGCATCAATTTTTGCCTGGACTCGCGGTCTTGTCCAGAGAGGTAATCTTGACGAGACACCAGAATTAGTTTCCTTCGCCAATTTACTAGAGAAAGCTTGTATCGATACTGTGGATTGCGATGGCATCATGACGAAAGATCTAGCTTTAGCATGTGGAAAAGCTGCAAGGATTGACCATGTCACAACTTCAGAGTATCTTGAGGCGGTAGAGAAGCGATTGAGAAAATCATATAAATCTAAGAGTTAGCGAAGCGTATGGAGTAGTTGGGTTATGAGCATCCTGCTTTCGGATAATGAATTGATGATGGGTATGGGAGTATTCTACTTTAAAATGTATAGATTTCTCTTGCTACATAACAAAAATTTGTCCCAACACCTCATGTATACCTTTGCCACATCTACACCCAAGTTACAATGGTCCACATGACTAGTCGCCAGAATTATTACAATTTGTTATTCGTTATATTGCATGCACCGACGGCACACCTCATCTAGTGTAATTTTCCTGTTTTGGAAAAGGGTATGATTCTTGAGTGATATGCGATCCGCCGGACAGTAAATAAAACCTTTATATCACGTCCAAACATCCGGAAATTGTTATACCTCAATCATAGAGCCTGCTACCTGCTAAAACCGCACTAATATCTCACAAAATACTCGTTATAATACATCTTTTTTACGCTGGTCCGAAAGGATGTGCATCAGGCGGCGGCGATTGAATTTTGGGTTTTTTACTTTTCTTCACACTAACGCTGGTCGTTTTATCGTCTAGTCCTTCGCCTTTCTTTTTGCGCGCCTGACGTGGCTTTTTAGACTTATTCTCGTCGTTCGTGGTCTTCTTGCCTAAATCCTCATCTTCACGCTTTCGCTTCTTTTCTCTGTCTTTTGCACTTCCAACCGCAAAGTCGTAGCTTAAACCGTCTTCTTCGACAATCTCTAATGAATCTAATTTGCTGGGTACCGGAACATTAGCACGTTTTCCAGCCCCTCGTAGTGCTCCAGGCTTTCCACTAGACTTCTCACTGCATTCACCGTCCTGTAAAAATATCTGAGGTACATGACGCCGGAGCCAGTTGTAGGGGCTGTGAAGATTACCAAAAACAGGGTCTTGGTATGGTTCTGATGGCTGTGATCGAGGAGCAGCAGGAATATCCCCTCGTGTACTTTCAATTTCGTAATTATTTTCATTAATGTTATCTGGTACAAGATATGAGTATAGAGCCGGCTTGCCATCTTCGTTATTGAGAGAAGCAAGTAAGTCTGAAGGTATGTGAGGATTGTTGGATTTGAGATGTGATGTGGTCGTTAAAAGAAAAGCCAATGATTTTACTGGAGATTTAGGTGGGGTTACTGCGTTGCGCGCGGCTATCAATTCTTGTATCTCCCCGTAGCTTTGCTTTCCTTCCGGTGAGTCGATACTACGAACTTTAGACAGTTCATCATCACTGATAAAGGGCGGAATGGTATCAAGAAGGGGCGTCTCGGTGGCCAAGTCGATGCGCTTTTCGGCTGGAATATGAGATGAATTATTCACATCGTATAGAATATCTAGAATACGGCTATAAAATCGCAAGTTAGCTAACTAAAGCAATTTTCTTACTCGCAGACAGCCGACTCACTCATTCTGTAGCGCGAGTCGCTTCGCAGTCTGAATGGCTCGCTGTTCATCAAAGTATAACTCTTTGTTTTGTAACATTATTTCATCAAATTTCAGCTTGATTTTTCGGAATTTTTTCCTAGGCGGTGCCAGTTTAGTTCAGTTTTTGCTAGTAGTATGTCGACCTACTTGAAAGATCGGTAAGTCGGTTGAGGTGAGGCATTTTGGGCTGTGATCTCCTCGTATGAATCCTTTGGTTCAGCTGAGGTGTTGTCATCTTCCTTGCAGACTTCCATTATATCTTTAAATCCCAATGTCATGGCCGAGTCAAGGATACAATTCACGTCTTTCGGTGACGATACATTCGGTATATAGTTTTTCCGCATGACCGAATTTCATCAATTCGCCTAAGATCAGTAATAAGTGCTCCACTGTTGTAGCCGTGTAATAATGAACTATCTCTATTCGCATACCATCTTTATCCGAGTCCAAACCAACTCAAACTCAAACTCCATTCATCTACTTCTTATTCAAAAAATCTTATGATTACATATGAAACATAGCTGGGGTAATCCTAGCATCTAATAATCTTCTGCAGGCAAATATTTTTAATTCAAAATTTCAAGACAAACAAAAACCCGAAATTACTGAATTCTAATATTATCTATAGTCTGGTCGCTGATAGATTCTTTCAAGGGACGACAAAAGGGTTATCACATGAAGACGGAGGAGGCCAAAATATCACTTGCGCCGTAATATTCTCTTGAAAGTTATGTCATCCAATTCATCACCACCCCATCAGCAAAAAAAAGAGAGATCTAGCAAGAAGAGAGTCTTAGATAGTCAACTTAATCCGGATGTAGCGGTTGCGCCAGATGTCGATAGTGGTGACTCAGAGGTTAGCCAAGGAGAACACGAAGAACTGAAGCATGAACATAAATTGGGATCTTCAACTAATGAACCATTAGAAAACAGGCCATCCAAGAAGCGAAAGACTGAAGCCAGCAAAATTGAGGTAGACATAAATGCTCCAAACCCGCCCTCCAAGAAAGAACTCCGGCGCCTGAAGAAAGGCAAGAAAATACCAGCTTCTAAGACAGGTCCTACGGATGAGATAAAAGTAACAAAGACTGAAGCAGAAAAGCGTTCAGAGCATGGAATATGGATCGGGAATTTGCCGTTTCATGTTTCTTCTGAAGATCTAAATCAATTCTTGGTAGATAATTCTGAAATCAAAAAAGAAATGATTACACGAATTCACATGCCTCGGCCGCATGATGATAAGTCACCCAAGGCCGAGGGAACTCAAAAAGTCGGAAAAACTATTCTTAACAAAGGCTTCGCATATGTTGATTTTTCTAATGCCGACGCTGTAACTCAAGCACTTACGTTGACAGAAAAACTCCTTAATGGCCGGCGGGTGCTAATAAAGGATCACAAGTCGTTTGAAGGTAGAATCACCGAAAAGAAGCCAGATCACCGAAGCGACGGGAAAGCACCAAGCAAAAGGGTATTCGTAGGAAATCTATCGTTTGATACCACCGAAGATGATTTAAAAGAGCATTTCGAGAAATGTGGACCCACAACTAGTATCAAGATGGCCACATTTGAAGATAGTGGAAAGTGTAAGGGCTACGCCTGGATAGTTTTCGACAAACTAGAGTCGGCTGAAAGTGCCGTGCGTGGCTTTATTCAAAGAGAGGATACACAGAGCGATTCTGAGACCGACTCAGAAGATGAAAACCGGCCTAATGGAACAAACTCTAACAAGCCAATCAAAAAGAGAGTAAAAAAAGTTTGGGTCAACAGAATCAATGGACGGAGCTTGCGCATGGAGTTTGCAGAAGACGCACAAGTTAGATATAAGAAGCGATACGGCAAGAAGCTAGAAGTCAAAGAGATTCCTATGCCGAGACAGGAATCCACTAAATATGGGAGTGCAATTGTAGCAAAAACTATCGAGTATCGTCAGCCATATGCTCCAAGATTAACGGGTGGTATTGTTGAGTCAAAGGGAAGGAAAATTACTTTCTAGGAAAGCAAAGGGCTGATTGATGGAAGCCAATCTGCTAAATCTACAGTTCATGAATATGACGAAAACAATCTTGATGGATTTTTGAGGGTAAACGCAATTAGTGACCCCAAGGAATTCGAAATTCATCTGAACAGACCCTAGAATATTAACGCTGTAGTCTCGTGACTTTATATATTAATAGTTCGAGTTAATGTTTCTCACCCAATAGAGTCATCACTCAAATCTATCGAAGACGACAGCAAACGTTTTTTCCCCAAGCTAAGATATATCTCGTGACTCAATTTTCCTACTTTTCATCGTCCCAAGACGTCAAGATGCCCCCCGGGAGGCATAAAATTCCCACGACACTCGTGTCACCTGCTCGAGCTGTCTCGCGCGCAGTCAAACGTGCGAGGCCTCGCCCTCCGCTCCCAACTGTTCAGGAGGAAGTTATCCTAGCAGCCGCAGCTGAGAAGCAACAATCTCCAGCTAAACCCATCTACATGGACTCAGAAGACGAGTTCATGGACCCCGGATTGGAAAACGAATGTCCTTCCAACTCTTGCTCTGAAAACCTTTCCCTCTCTCCAACGCCAGCTCCCGTATCGGTAACAGCTACCCAACTGCATCCTCCAAAAAAACCTCTGGGAAGAGATTCTACTCAGGGTATCTCCAGCTCTATTCACGCGTCCACCAAAGACAACGTTGGAATTGAGCAACAACCTACCCCAACTCTCCCGCGCTCTAGCGCGCGTACAACAGCGCGGATTATCGAATACCCCTCGGCAGCTATGACAAATAACATAGCCGCTTCATTGTTGGCCTGGCACAATGCTGGAGCCCAATATCTACGTGGTCTACCGCCAACAATCGCTGCAAAGCTCAAGGCTATCGTGACGCGAAGCTCAGCATGAGTCATTACAGGCCTCCCTGTCTTCGAGCAGTCTCAAACTACAGCAAACGTAAAAGTTAGCGCACAGCTAGCCCCACTATCAGAACCACCCGCAAGTTCTACTTACGCAAATGCTGCGAAGAAGAACTTGACCGTACCTGTACCCCCTTCAAAGGCTACGCCCAGGGTTACCAGTTCAAAGGAAAAACATATGCCGGACTCTAGAGTTATGATACGCCTAGCGTCCGACCACCCTCTGAGATTCCAAGATTCTCTTCTGGTCCGTACAAAGCTGAGAAGCTTTCTCGAAAAACCGGAACTAATCAAGGACATCAGGTCGGTCCCTTCTGGGATAGCTCTCGTGGCCCCCTCATCCGATCAGGCCCCCGAACTCATGCAAGCAGCCCTTACTCTACAGCCCGCTACAGGAGTTGTGCCTATCGAAAGACAGGAAAAACGAGAGAACCATCTCCTTAGCCCAGTCCCTAAATACGAGTACAATGCTTCCGGATCTCCCGAAGCCCTTTCCGTTGCAGACATCCGGGAAGAACTTGCAGCGGCAAAAATCGATACAAAATAAATTTTTTCTATCAGCTGGACACGTAACTCTCTGGCATCACCAAAATGGGAAGGTACTCTCCGACTAGTAGTTGTAAAACCAGCTGCAAATAAACTCCCCTCCAGCGTCCGCCTATTTGCCCGGTCCGCCAAAATTCGACCGGCTCACAATCGCCCACGCCTCCAAGTCTGTCAACGCTGCCATGGAATTCACAACATCAATGCCTGCACCAGGAGAGCTCGTTGCGGACTTTTTGCGTCAGACTCACACAACGGCCCATGTATGACACCGATAAAGTGTCTTAAATGTGCTGGCCCGCACGTGGCCTCTTCTACTGGAAGCTCTGCGAGACCCTTCCGAGCTAACGGAGTATTTGTTCGCGCAGATAAGGGGAGAATGCGGGTAATGCGACACGAAGGACATAAGTCCTGGCTGGATCTTAACCCTCCCCCATCCGCTCCGGAACCCCCTGCTGGGTATCTATCCACACAACCCTCGTGCACCACGATTCCAGCTCCTGTTCTAGCAATAGGCTCTTTTTTTTAATTCATAAAGTGTATGTAACAATAGGCTCGGCATCTAGATTCGATCCCCTGATTTCCTTTGAGGAGTCACTGCGAGGGACCGAAACAGGAACCGAAGAAAGCAGAAAACCCCAGGCCTCTGCTTCTTTCAGATCAACGTTGTTAGACGTGCCTCTGCTCACGACGTCGCCCTAAAGCTGGCCTCAAAATGTGGGGCTAATGTGGTACTAATCCAAGAATCTTGGGTTTCCACCGACCTTTTTCGTAGACTAACAAAGAATCATCCAAGATTCCAGTGTTTCTCTCCCCTTTCCAACTGGAATATTCGGCCACGAGTGATGACTTACGTCTGCAAAGAGCAAGGGTTACCCCCCTTCCAGCCAGCTTTGCACTCGCGAGACCTATTACAAGTCGTAATTCCGCGCAGGAATAAGTGTGCGCTCGCATGCTGGAAAGTCTACAACTCCCCAATCGGAGCAACTGATACTGGGGAAGGTCTAAAGTATTTAATTAGTAGCACAGGCTCTCCAGATATCCTTGCAGGGGACTTCAACATTCACCACTCATCCTCGGACCCGAAATCTCGAACCAATAGTGTGGATGGTGACTCCCTGATATCATGGACAGCCTCCCGGGGGCTTCGACTTCTCAACCATGATGGTGCTCCCACTCATGACGCCGGGATAGCTATCGATCTCTGATTTGTCCGAAATGATGTTAACGCATTTTGCGAAATTCGACAAGATCTAGAAGCCGGCTCAGACCACAGAACACTTCTCTGCCAAGTAAACAATTGGGAGGTCGAGATTCCTACACCAGGTAAGCTTCAATTAGCCTCCTGTAACTAGTCTATATTCGAAGGACTTCTTGAGAATCATCTAACCGTTGTGTAAGGGAGACGTCTCAGATAGGTAATATCACTGGGTAGGAGTTATGATATACAGGTAGCTCGAATAAGTAAGTAGTCTCCAACAGGCAATTAAGATACAAGAACGTCGTATGCCCAATCCTACCAGCAGTAAAGCGACTAGTTATACTCTAGGTAAAAGTGAACTGGAGCTTCCTCCCAACTCATACAATAGCTCAACGTTACATGAGATAAACCCTGAACTAAACCTATGTGGTAACCAACCCATTACATGGCCCACCAACACATATGCTATACGTTAATACTAGTATTTGGCAGGGGATGATGTTGATCCAGATGTATTCCCTGACACGTTGCTCCCTCCCAAACAATTGAAGATGAGGCGTCAGAAATTGTGAGTGCCATCTCAGGGGCCCTTCGTGCTGCCTGCCCTAGATCCCGTAAACAGGTAGCGAAAGCTGGCTGGTGGACCAAGAAGTGCATCAAAACTCATTTAAACTTCTGCCGAGCTCGCTGCATAAGTCTTCCGGCGGTTTCCGAACGTCGAACTTTTAGTAAAGTTTTCAGAAAATCTAAGCAGGCATACTGGCAAAATAAGAATGAACAAGTCTTCAGTCTTAAAGAAGTCTACCAGGTAATACGCTGGCATTAAAAAGAGGCTCATTACCACACCCCACCTTTAGAGAGCCTGACTGGCCCAGTATTCCGTCCAGAAGATAAGGCGCAGTTATTTAAAGAGACCTTTTTCAGCCGACATCTAAAACGAGTAGATATCGACGATACAGCTCCTGTAGTGGCAAAAAGATCAATTTTCTGGCCTCCGATAATAGACGAAGAGGTCTATAACTCATGCTCTGTCGTCTTAGTATCTGCACCTGGACCAGACAGTATCACCACAACAGTACTTAGATGCGCCTGGCCACTCATTGGGGCTCGGATAATAGCTTTATTTCGCTGGTGTGATCAGCAAGGACTACACCCGAGTGTTTTCAAGAAGGCTAATATTATTATAATTCCAATGCCTGGAAACCGCAACCGGGCTCTACCAAATTCATACCGACCAATCGCTCTTTTGTCATGCCCTGGTAAGGGACTCGAGAGACTAATAGTTCGCCGCTTCTCATTTCTAGCGCTGAAACTATAGATTCTCTCCCGGGATCAATGTAGTGTAGTTCCTCGAAGATCTGCCGCAGACCTCACCACAGCACTGTCGTGCGATATTCAGGATGCGTGGTCCAAAAAGAGGTGGCTGGCATGGTCACAGTAGATGTGAAAGGAGCATTTGATGGTATCCAAAAAGGCCGCCTTTGTCATTGCTTGCGGGGTCAAAGCTGGTACCCTAATTTAGTACAGTGGGTGTCTTCTTTTATGCCCGAGCGAGAAGCCTCAATCATACTTGATGGAGCTACATCTCCAACATTCGAAATCCACTGTGGGCTCCTACAAGGGTCGCCTGCCTCTCCAATCTTATTCCTGCTGACAATTGAATGCCTCCCCAATCTCTCCCCAAAACGCTTTGGTTACGCAGATAATATGACACTTATAGCGTCTGCACCATCTCTCACCCGATGCTCAGAACTACTCTAGAAGTAGTTAGACGCAACCCTCGCATGGGGGCGCGAGAACGGCATCACTTTTGAAGTGTCCAAAGCTGAGCTGTAATACTTCCACCGAAAGCACGGGTCCCCAGCAGAGCCCAGCATATACGCTAATGAAGTAGAGGTCACTCCAAACGACCAAACACGCTGGCTTGGGGTCATCTTTGACCGAAGTCTTCGATTTAGAGAACATGTAAGACAAACATGTGGTAGATCATTGGCCATCACGAACCACATAAAAAGCCTCTCAAGAATCACTCGAGGAATAAGCCCTCTTCTCTTGAGACAAGCACTTCAAGGAGCAGCTTTTATAACCTTGCTCTATGGGGCTGAGACTTGGTATTCCAAGGGAATTCCAAAAGGACTAGTTCTTAAAATACAACAAAGGATGAAAGACGCGGCCCGAGCAGCTCTTCCGGTATTCCGAACGACGTCAGTTGCTGTACTTCTTCGAGAGATAGGTTGGAGTCCTACACGAGCCTAGCTTGAATGTATTCACGATCGCCTAGTCGTCTGCGTTGCCTCGGCAGATCCTAGGCACCCCCTTCGTAGAAGATGGAATTCCACAAGAATGCTGTGG